AGTATGAGGAGGGGTGGAGGGTGCTTAGATCTGGGAATTTGATGGTGGGAATGTATTGTTTGTGCCAATTTTCAGAAGGTAGAGTTATGGATTTGGGGTTTTTTAATATGGTTTTTGGTCCAACAGTGGGCAGTTCCAGCTTAAACACTGAATTGGTGAACTTCTGGCTTTGTGACTTCAATAAAGTTATTTGTTTTGGTTTACCATACAAGACTCATTGATTGCACTTAGATTTAGAGCTCCCAATTCTGACAATAGCATGCAAAATTAGCTACAGTCAGCCATTTATATATAAAAAAAATTACACTTTCTCCTTAACCTTCCACCAGCCCTCTGTCTATTATATTCCCAACCATCCAGCAATTTGACCCTTATAAATAAGAAAGAAAAACCAAACAGCTAACTATTATAAGGGGGAAGGCTCTTGAAGAAGACTCATGTGATGGTTATGGGCAGTTAATCCAGGATCCATCAAATATGGTTTAAGAAAATTAAAATGGCTAAATTTATCCAGGGAGAAATGGATGAAAAACATGAGTAAAGAAATGAAGTGTAATCCTTCTACTGTGAAAAAATAAAAGAGAAAGCAAGGGGTGTCCAGAAAACCATAGACTCTTCAACACTGTTTGCAAGCCAGAAATCTAGTCCAGAAAAAAGCTAGCTCTGTAAACATCACAAGAAAAAAATTCTGACCAGGGAGGATCAACAACAACAAAACAAAAACAAAAAAGAAAGAAAAGAAAAGAAAAGGATGACAAAGAGTCTCTGTGGCAGGCTTAGCTGTGGAAAACCTAATCTTCTGTAAAATTATTGGAAGCAAAAATATATGAACCAAAAAACAAAGTTCCTGACTCTCTTTGTTTTAGAAAATGGCAATTTCATAGGCAGTGCAGTGCTGACCAAACTAGATCCTGCACTTAAATCTCTATCAGGTGTTTTTCCTGCCCATGGTACCTCTCACTCCCTGGATTAATTTTGAGTTGTTTGCTTACCTGTTTACCATCACTAAACATACTTAAACTATGGGTAAGGCGAGTGAGTGCAGCCACATTTTTGTACCGCACCCCACAAATTTGGGGGTCCAGAATTTCAGTAATCACTATGCAATAATGTTTCCCAAAAGCTTCAGGGAGGTGATGGGTATGAGTCACCTTTTGTCTGCACGGAGATGCTGTTACACATTTTGTTGCATCTGGAGGTCATCACCTTTTTTCTGCACAGAGGTGCTGTTACACATTTTGTTGCATTTTGCATTTTGGTGGCATATTTTTAAAGTTTAGTGAGGGGTTTTTTCAGATAGCTAAAAAACGTTGTCTTGGTCTGTAATGGAGGATGAGCGATGCAAAATTCCTCCCAATGTAGAAGGAATGACTATTAGTGCCACACACAAAGCAGAGCAAGAAAGGGTTAACACATTGGGGCTGGCATCCTCTTGGTTAATCTCCCCTAGAATAGAGTTTAGACCCATTGAATCAATTCTTGTATGGTGAATCAGCATATAGATAAATCCCATTAATTCAATAGCTCTACTCTGGACAGGACTGACAATAAGAGTTGTTGTTGTTGTTGTGTGACTTCAAGTCACTTCTGACTTATGGTGACCGTAAGACAAACCTATCATGGGGTTTTAAGGAGCCGTGATGGTGCAGTGGTTAAATGCCAGTATTGCAGCCACTCACAGCCACAAGGTTGTGAGTTTGATCGCAGCCAGGGATCCAGGGTCCACTCAGCCTTCCATCCAGTAAAATGAGCACCCAGCTTGTTGGGGGCAATTGGCTTACACATTGTAAACTGCTTAGGGAAATTTAGTGTTCTCTACCTACAAAGAAGCCTGTGGCTTCACACAGGAAGGAGACATGCTTGATTCCAAAGAGAGCATCTTCTTTGAATTATAAATGGACATTAAATTTCCTTTACCAGTGACCACATGGCCAAAGGAGGAGGTGCTATCCTGCCTGCAAATCGCCCTCTCTACCATCTAAAACTAAGATCAGAAACTACAGAATGTAGGCCTATGGCTAACATCTTCAATTTTTTTCTCCTGTGCCTGATGAAGAAACCAGTGTGGTTTCAAAAGCTTGCAAGATGTAATTGTGCATTTCGGTTGGCCCAATAAAGTTATCATTGTTTGGATATTATTGGATTTCTTGCTTAGGGAGTGTTAGTTCACTGATAAGCAGTATAGAAATGTACTTGCTATTGCTATTTTCTGGGACTGAGAGTGTATTACTTGCCCAAGGTCACCCAGTAGGTTTCCATGGCCAAGCATGGATTCAAAACCCAATCTCTAGAGGCCCAGCCATGTGCACAGACCAATACACCATGCTGGCTCTCAGCACTAAGATTTTGACCTAGGTTTAAATATGCTAACAAATCTAATTCAGTCATGTTTACATTGAAAGACGCTTTTTTATTTTGTTGGGTAAGTTAATTTTAAATTGACATTTAAGTTTACATTGTTTTCATAGTTTAAAAGCCTTACCAAATTAAGGTGTAAAATCCTATCTATGATTTTACTCCTCACATCCAGTGCAAAGTCACTTTTTTTACAAAGAACAGTAGTTTTCTGTTGGTTTGGATGAAAATCAGCATTAAGCTGTTCCATATGCCTGTCTTATGCCCTCATAAGTAGGACAAGACAGCAAATAATCAGGTGGATCATCATTTATCTATTCCTTGCAGCTTCCCATCACCATTGGGAGAACTACATCTCAAATAGTTCCCAGCAACAGAAATTATAAATGGACAGTGGATATTTTAGTTGGTGAGTTTTTTCAAATAATGGCCATACCAGGATCTCCCTTAAGGCTGCAGCTATTTATTGTACCTTCCCTTAATAACACAGTCATAATGTAAGAATTTAAAGACATACCCATGTTAATCTGTAGAATTAATATAGACAGAGTTTTGTAGCACCTTTGAGACTAACTGAAAAAAAGAAGTTTATAGCATTAGCTTTCTTAGACTTTAGTCTACTTCTTGAGATGCTTATGATGGAGTGGAAGCCAGGGACAGACAGAAGTGCAGGAGTTTGACTGAAGAAAACTGAAAACGAATGTTGGCTACTGCAGAACCAGTCATCATTAGTAGAACCCATGAGCTCTACATGATACATAGTTTTGCAAAGGGCTCCCCACACATAGATCCTCAAGAAGGACATCCCATTGCTTGCACTTGTTAAAAAATAATAATGTTTCTTCACCTTTCTGGAAGTCAGGAAGAGCAAGAATTGAGTGGTCAAGTGGTAATCTAAGAAAATTTGGATATCTACACGGGTGTATGGACTCCACTTCATAGTGACATTGGTATGCCATCAGAACAGGAGGAGATTTTTTGTGGGTGGGACTGGCTGGGTCCAGAAAGTCTGGTGTGTGTCCTCATGGTTTTCTATTCCACTGTACATTCAGCCATGAGATCATCAGTGAGGGGTTAGATCAGGCTACCCCTCCCTCTTCCTCCCCCTTCCCAAGTGTCACGTTTGTTTTTACAGTTTTTACTCTCATCATCTAATCCACACACATACCCATTAGTGTTCTGTCACCTTTGTTTTTACTTCAGTGAATGGAATGCACACATTCCCTCTTTCCTTTCTCTGATCCACTCCTGATCATTTGCTCCATTGTTTGTGCTGAGATATGCAGTGTATATATGGTGGGGGGAGGAAGTGTGTGCAATCTCTGCATGAGTGAGCAAGTGAATGATTGGGGCGGCTATCAGAAGGGGGAGAGGGAATGTGCACAGTCTATTCATGGAAGTGAATACAATTATTATTATTATTATTCCACCCTTTTCTTAAAACTGGGACTCAAAACATAAAGTATTACATTAAAACAGAATTAAATTAATACACTATTAAAACAGTTTGCATGTGAAAGAATAAAATATAGTTAAAAGTAAAAAGTAAAAATACTTTAAAAGAATAGAACACCCAGCAACAGTCAGCAATATACTACAATACAAAGACATCACAATGCTAATGGTGGGGAAGGGAGGACTGTAGGGAGGAAGAGTAAAAACAGTAAAAACAAATGCGGCACTTGGGTGAGGGGGAAAAGAAGGAGGGGTAGCCTGATCTGATCCCTCCTCCCTGATCTCATGGGTGAATTTTTCCATAAATGAAAGCTAATTAAAAAAAATCTTTCTGCATCATATGTGCATGTATGTTTTGTGTGTACATTGAAAATTCATTCACTCACTCATTGGGACAGCAAAGGGGTAAAGGGAATTGGATGGGGAAGAATCTTATCAGAGTGGATCCAATAGATTGACAGTCAAACAATAAGAGCTATTGGCTGATAGGTTGGTGCATGCTGGGAAGTGGGGGAAGCCAGGGGGAAATGTGTGGATGGCTATGTTGATGTCACCTCGCTGTGTCTGTTGGTGTGTGGCACTAATGAGGTCACTGCCGGATCACTGTGGACCAGGAAAATGCAAGGGGAAGCTGATTTGTTTTGCCAGTGTAGATGCACCCTAGCATATCAATTCTCAGTCTACCTTTCTTTAGGCTAAATATGCTGAGCTCCTTCAACTGCCTCATAGGATTTGGTTTCCTGACCTTTTACTCCCTTGACACATTCTGGCTTTTAACCTCCTTCTTAGCCTATGGATGCAATACATCAGGTGAGGCAAGACCAAAGCAGAATTGTATGGTACTGTTTTCTTGATCTAGACACTATACTTCTGCTAATATGACCTAAAACTGAATTACATTTCTTGCCAAATCACATCTTCACCTCATGTTTAGCTTGTGGTCTACTGAGACATCTAGGTCTTTTTTCATACTGCCAAACTATGTGTCATCCATCCTATATTTGTGCATTGCCTTTTTCTTGCATAAATGTATAACTTTACATGTTGTTATGTGCCTTCATATTGTTTCCAACCTATGTCAACCCTATCTTAGGGTTTTCTTGACAATATTTCTTCTGAGAAGGTTTGCCATTGCCTTCTACTGAGGCTGAGAGTATGAGACTTGCCCAAGGTCACCCAATGAGTTTCCATGATTGAGCAGAGATTTGAACTCTGCTCTCCAGAGTCCTAATCCAACACCCAAAGCACTATGCCACTCTGGCTCTCCACTCTGGCTTTCCAAATTTGAACATGTATCCTTGTTCAAATTAATTCTGTCTGTTTTGGCACAGTTCTCCAATTTGTTAAGGTCATCTTGAATCATGGTTATGTTTTCTATGATATTAACTACCAATGCAAATGTGGTGTCACTCATAAATTTGATGACAATTCCCTGTACTTCTTTATTCAAGTAGTTTAAAAAAATTTGAACAACACTGAGCACAGGACAGAATCCTACAGAACCACATGCGTCATTATGTTCTGGAAGAGGGTGATTGTGTGGGGCCGGCAGTCACCTACAAATCTATGTAAGGACGCATCCAGACTGAACTTTCCCAGTTTTTGTTCCTGTTCTTTCCAACCTGTGGAGCTGGTATAAAAATTATCTGATCATACCAGAAACTGACAGTAAATATTCTGGGATAAACAAAATGTGTATGGATCTCCAAAATAAAACCAGAAAGAATAGGAACAACATCTGGGTCAATCTGGATGTGTCCTATGGGTTGTATCATCTGCCCCACCTTTTACCAGCTTGTCCATGAGACTATAATGTGACACCTTGTTGAAAGGCTCGCTGAAATCAGGATAAACTACATCCACCATGTTCCCCAGATCCACCAAGCATATAACCCTATTCAAAGATTACCAGGGTGAACATTGTTTTCCTTTTGGGAAAAAACCAGAGGCAAAGTAGGTGTTGAACAGTTCCATTTCAATGTCACTCATTACTTTTTCTCCATGTCTCCTTGTTCTTCCTCTTTTTCAATCTAAACTCATTCTAGGTTTTAGATATTCTGATCTTCTCTCTACAACTGCTGGTTATTTGTTGGTATTCTACGTTGGCAATTGCTTCCTCCTTCCATTTCTCAATCATGTCTCCTGAAAATATCAGCTCATCTCAGTTTCAGTTTATCTTGTTCTGTAGCAGTCACAGGGTGCATTTGTACTGTAGAAATAATGCCATGTGGCACCACTCTAAGTGCTGTAGTTCCATCCTATGGGATCCTGTGATTTGTAGTTTTACAAGGTCTTTAGCCCTCTCTGTCAATGTGTGTTGATGCCTTACAATCCCAGGATTCTATAGGATCAAGTCATGGCAGTTAAAGTGGTGTCAAATTGCAGTATTTCTACAGTGTAGATGTACTCACAGTTTCTTTCTTAGTGAATTGTAATTGTGTTTTAAATATCTCACATTTAAGGAACTCCCAACTGTGATGAACACTATCTGCTTTGTGTATTTCTGACTATGGATTTCACTAATTATTATTTAAAACTTATTGAGGCCCAGAATGTACTCAACTTTCTCTTTCTGCATTTTCTTTAAAAACTAATTTTATGGAAACAAACAGTAAAAAAAATGCAGTTAACTTCTGTGTGATAAAGCCTTCAATCAGAAATACATAAAAAGTTATATATTTCATTAATATTGTTGATCAACTAATTAGATGATTATGCAAATCAGATGATTCTTGAAGAAATAAAGCAGAGAACTGAGTTAACTCAAATGGGATCTGATTTAAGGTCTGCATTTTAAAATGATTTGAAATCTGAGTGGAAAGATGTAAGGAAATCTCTGGCGCAGATTATTACAGAAATACAGCAAATTAATAAAAATATCAACTTCAGAAGATATGTCTCAGGAATTGAAAAGTTACTGAAAAATTGATTTCAGATAGAAAATAGGAACTGGACACTATGGCTCTTTTGAAACCTAAAAAGGTCTTTAAGATTAGAAGAATACATGAAAGGATTGTGGATGTTAAGTGGCTTACAGTTTTGATCCTTAAGTGGCATCATCTCCATTTTTCAGTTCAGAACCAGGGTTCTCTGGGAGATCATTTTGGAGCCTCAAGTGTATTGCATTGTCGGCCCAAGCACATATTCAGTAATGTGAATTGGCTACTTGTTATTCACCCCAGTCCACAATTGGGGAAGGTGAACAATCCTGAGGTTTCTCCCTCACCTCCACTGCAATGCCTCCATTTCTTCAGCATCTGCATAGGCTTCCATGAGCCCTATCACTTGGTCCAACATCTTAGGCTGATGACATTGGACCCAGCCTCTAGCAGGCTCAGGTAAGGCTGTGGCATACTGTTCAATCATGACCAACTTGTCCATCTCCGCCAATGACTTCATCACTGTTTTTGCCACTGTAAGCCATTGGAGTGAGTACATTACAATAAAATACAATAAAATAACAACAAAAATAACAAAGTAATAACAGAGGAGTAAATATAACTTAACATTAACTGTGCGTAAAATAAGTATCAAGGTGAAAAGAAATTAAAATTTCAATATGACATTTAATGTAATCTCTTGGAATGTTAAAGGAATGAATGATAAACAAAAAAAGAAACCTAATTTTCCATCGAATAGCAAAACAAAATGGAGACATAATATGTATTCAAGAAGTGAAGATATAAGAGACGATGCGAAATATCTTAAAAACTCAAGATTGGGAGACTGTTTTTATTCACTTTCAGAAAAGAAAAAGCAAGGGATTGCTATATATATATTAAGAAAAAATACCAAGCAAAAGAAATTTTTAAAGATAAAGATGGCCTATTATTAGGTATTGAGATAAAATCTAAAGACCTTACAGGTCTGATAGTGGGTATATATGCACCCAGGGAAAACAAGGAACAATTTTATGGAAAAGTGCTTAAAGAAATAAAGAAATTCAAATATAAAGAAATAATATTACTTGGAGATTTTAATGGCGTTATACAGCCAGAATTAGATAGATTTTCTACCTTGAAAAATATAAGGAAAAATCAGGGGAAACTTCCTAGAAATTTCTTTAAATTGCAGACTGAAGTTGAACTCATAGATATCTGGAGATATAAATATAAATCATCAAGAGAATATACCTTCTATTCTGAAACTTACAAATCTTTTTATTCTTAACATCAAAAACCTTATTGCAAAGAATTGTATCGATGGACATAGAGTCAAAATATCTTTCTGACCATAATATGATTGTGTTGAAATTGCAGGACAGGAAGAGAGAATTTTCATGGAGACTACAAGAAAGCTTATTATGCGATGAACAAGTGGTAAATAAAATAAAAGATGAGTTAAGACACTATTTCAAAGAAAACAAAAATGATAAAATCTCACCATCTTTATTATGGGAGGCTAGTAAAGCAGTAATAAGGGGCACGATAATAAAACTACAAGCACAAAAAACAAAAGCGAAAATGAGAAAGAAATACAAACTATTAGAACTTTTAAAATTAAAAGAATCAAGATGGAAACAAACTGGAGATAAAAAATTAAAAGTAGAAGTGCAAACTTTACAAAAACAACTAAAGCTAATTACTATTGAGGAATTACATACTAAGTTACAAAGCATTAAACAAAAAGAATTTGAATATGGAAATAAGGCAGGGAAATTATTAGCTCATAAATTAAAGCAAGAAAGAGAGAAGACAATATTAACAGAGTTAATACAAGATGGAGAACAGATTACAGATCAAGATAAAATTAAAAAAGAATTTGAAAACTATTATTCACATTTATATAGGAAATATTCATATACTGAAAAGAATAAAATGTTAATGAATGAATACATAAGACGTCAGAAAATACCAGAACTAACTAAAACACAGAAAGAAGAACTGAATCAGAAAATTACAAAAGAAGAAATCTCCATGGCTATAAAAAGAATAAAAAGCGGGAAAGCACCAGGACCAGATGGACTTTCAGCAATATATTATAAAAAGACAGAAGAAATAGTAATAATGCCACTATTTGAACTTTTTAACAGCATACAGGAAACTGGAATACCAAATACCTGGAAAGAAGCTCTAATTACAGTAATTCCAAAAGAAGGACAAGACATAAAAAAGATGGAAAATTACAGACCTATATCTTTAACAAATACGGATTACAAAATTTTTACCTCCATTCTTGCAAAAAGACTCAAAAATACCCTGTCAGAAATTATTTATAATAAGTTTTTAATAATAAGTTTTATTTATAGCCCGCCCCTCTGCTAAGCAATCGGGGCGGGTTACAGCATATTAAAACAGCACAATTAAAAGCATTCCCTCCAAACATGATCCCTCCACCCACCCCTTAAAACAAGATTAAACCAGAAAATATTAAAACAGCACAAAATTGAATTAAAAACACACTTCGGACTCAGTAGGCCAATGAACAAGTTGTCCCTCCCAGCGGACAATATTATTCTGGGAAGGCCTGCCGGAAGAGATCAAAGAGATCTTTATGAAGATCAAAATGGATTTTTGCCGAAGCAACATATTCGAAATAATATAAGAACTATAGTCAACATTCTAGAACATTTTGAATACAACAACAACAGGAAATTAGCATTAATTATGATAGATGCTGAAAAAGCGTTGACAGGGTAAATTGGGAATTTTTGATTGGAATAATCGCAAAAATGAATATTGGAGAAAGATTCAATGCATGGATCAGAGCTATATATAAATAACAAGTTGCTCGAATCTTGATAAATGAAGAAAAAATGAATTACGTAAAGATCGAGAAAGGAACCTGTCAAGGTTGTCCAATGTCGCTGCTCTTGTTTATATTATTATTAGAAATATTATTAACTAAGCTAAGAAAAGATGATAATATTAAAGGAGTTAAAATAAAGACAACACAATTTAAAATTAAGGCATATGTAGATGATTTGATCTGCATTCTTGAACAGCCAAAAGAAAGCTTAAATCACCTAATTACGACAATAAATGAATTTGGCAAATATTCAGGATTTAAAATTAATAAAGACAAGACAACTATATTGACAAAAAACATCACATTAGAAGAGGAAAAAGAGCTGGAACTAATTTCTGGATTTAAAGTGAAAAGTAAAGTACAATATCTGGGAATAACTTTGACAAAAAGAAATATAGACTTTTATCAAAATAATTATGAAGTGATGTGGAAAAAGATAAAAAAAGATATGGAGAGATGGGCAAGACTACATCTATCCATATCTGGGAAAGCGGCAGTCATAAAAATGAACATT